CGAGTCTGCCGGCCCTGCACAGCACCAAAGAGCTGACCACAACCCCGGCTCCAACCCCAAAGGGCCCAGCCTCCCATCTCTCAGGTCCTCCCCCCCTCCCCCACCCCACCAGCCCCACTGCAGCCTGCTCCTGGGCCCTGCCCTCCTGCCTTCCATGGCTCATGTGCCAATCATCAGATTTCAAAAGAAACCAAAATACACCGTGTCATGATTAAATTTTTAAAATTCATTACAGTGTAGTACACAGTGGCATTAATCTTCAAAATACTGTCCTCACTTTAAACACACGTAGGCCATTGTTCTTGGCTCTTTCTGAAGCAGTTCTGGAAGTCCTCTTTCATGTCTTCCAGAGCTGGGTCCCAGATTTAGCTCAGTGGAGTAAACAAACGCCTGCCTGGCAAGCGCAAAGTCATGAGTTCCATCCTTGGTACCAAAGAAGGGGGGAAACACGAGGAAGGGACAGGCAGGCTCATAAACACATACAGTGTGTCTTCACCTTATTCGCCCATTCTGGCACCGTGCAACTTTCGGCCCTTCCCCAAAGTCACAGTGACCATGAAGGGGTGATGTTTTAGATCAGTTCAGGCTATGGAGACAAGCAGGGCAGTGTGAGTACAGGTGGTCAGGAGGGGACATCCAGAGCTGCTTCAGAGAGTGGCATGCATGACGGGCTAAGTGTGCTCAGGGCAGGGAGGAGTATGAAGGAGATTCATGGCGGCCCAGGTTCCTCTCCGTGATAAATCCCTTCCGATTTGCACATGCAGCAGTTTTCAGCCCCACCTCGTACGTGGGGCATCATCCAGTCTTAAAAGGGAAAGGGCACCTCCTGGGTGGACCTCGACTAAATGACATAAACCAGTCACTGCGGGGACCGTGGTGCAGGGCCAGTACGAGGGGGCCGTGTCACAGACACAGACCAGAGAGCAGGCGGGCGGGGAAAGGGTGGTGACCAGCACCTCGCTGTTCTAATTTTTATGAGTCCAGACTTGCAGTACACAGTGACCACACGGCTTCACTGCCCATTCCCTCCCTCCACCTCTCGGTCACCTTCCCACTTGCAAAAGATCTGTCTCCCCGATTCCCCTCATCAGTCCTTTTGTTTGTTCTTCTCGTTTATTTATACTTGAGTTACTCATAGAAGAGAAGCCATGAGATAGGCAATGTTTAAGCTGTGTGTCTGATTTACTGCATTTACCATTATGGTCTCAAAGGGCAGGCATCCATTTTATTTATCTATTTATTTATTTTTGACATAGGGTTTCACTGTGTAGTGTAGGCTGGCCTTCAACTCACTATGGAGCTCTGGCTGGCCTTGAATTCACAACGGTCCTCTTGCCTCAGCCTCCTGAATGCTGGGATTACAGGTGTGCACCACAACACACCCAACTAAGGTGCATCCATTTTCCTATAAATACTCAAGGGTATCCTCCTTTATGGCACAGTAGTACTTCACTGAGCTTAAATACCACATTTTCTTTACCCATTCATCTGCTGATGGACATAGAGGCTACTTCAAAGATTTGGGGAACAACTATTTAAGAGGTGCAGGGTTTCACTTGGGAAAATGAAGCTTTGGAGACTGATGACAGTTCTGAATATATGATACTGTGAAAGTATGTAACTAGAGTGCACACATAACACATTAAGTTGTCCTATTTTACAGTAATCAACATTTTTTAAAAGAAATAAACAGTTCAATTCCTGGTACCAAAAAAAAAAGAAAGAAAGAAAGAAAAGAAACAAACAAAATCCCTTCCTGCAAGTCACCGTGCCCTGGTAACAATCAGGCCCAGGCCCTGTGCCCCAGATGCTGCAGCTGGGCCCCTCAGCACTGCCCAGGGGTCTCACGGTGACCAACACTCCCCATTTCAGGATGGTGGTGTGGTCACACAGTTCCTCAGCAAGGCCACGTCCCCGTCATGCTCTTTCCCCAAGGGCCCAGGCTCCTTGCTTTTCCTCCCATGCCAAGGTGGTGTCCTCTGGGCCCTGTCTATCGGGCAGAAGGCAGAGTCCTGGACCCCAGGGGGTATGTATATCACTGGCATCAAGCTTGTCACATGGGTACAGCCTGGGCAGGGACTGAAGTCCCAATACTTGTTTTGTAAATATAAAACCCAGAAGCAATCAAGTATCTAATAAAGGACTGGCAGGTGAGTGAACTGAGCTCCAGCCACCAGATGGAAGCTTTGAAGAAAATGTAGCCGGGTGTGGTGGCACACGTCTGTAATCCCAGCACTCAGGAGGCTGAGGCAGGAGGGTTGTTGGAAGTTTGAGACCTGCCAGGACTATAAAGTGAGCTCAAGGCCAGCCTGAACTGCCCAGTGAGACCCTGCATTGCATGGCTGTGCTTTCAAAGGGACAGTCTAAGGGACAGCGGAGTCACAGGCCAACTCCCCAGAAGCCAGCCCAGAGTGAAGAACACATCCAAATCCACACACCACAGCTCTACATCCAGAGTGAGACAGACTCTTCTGCCTGCAGTAGAGCAAAGCCCAGAAAAACTGTCAGGAAAGGAGAGGACCTGGGCCCCCACACCATGTCTAGTCCAGCAGGAACCCGGTCTTCTTTTCTCTGACCCCCCAAAATACAAAGTAAAAAGTCACACCATGAACCAGGCATGGTGGCGTCCACCGGTCATCACAGCACCCTGGGAGGCTGAGGCAGGAGGACTGCAAGTTCCAGCAGCCCTGGCACCTTAGCACCTTAGGGAGACCCTGCCTCAAAATAAAAATACAGAGAAAGGGTTGGATTTGCAGCTCAATATGAAGCCCTTTTACTCAAGATCTTGACAGTTATGGGCAGAATAAAGTACTAATGGAAAAGACAGATAAAGAAACAAGTAGAAGTGAAAGGCCATATTTAGCAACCCGGCATAAAATGTCTTTAAAGTAGAAAACCCAATAAACGGAGTATAAAATTAGTTTAAAACATAATATATATGCAGCTGGGCATGATGGTGCACACCTGTAATCCCAGCACTCAGGAGGCTGAGGCAGGAGGATTACCATGAGAGACCAGCCTGGGCTACATTAAAAGCCAGCCTGAACTACATAATGAGACCTAGTCTCAAAAATAAAAAATAAATAAATGAAAGATTCCAGTCAGGAAAGCCCTACTGAGTACGAGCACTAAATCAGCAGACATAAAGAATTGCTCCAAACAATAATAGCAAATACAGATGGGACAGAAAGGTGATTGCAGAGTAAAACCAGTAACTCACTAAAATCAGAGCCCAGGCAAGCAGAGGGGCACAGGAGCGCTGGTACCCCTGTCCCCTAGGGCGGGCACACAGGAGACCTGCCAGTCCTGAAACACTGCTTTTTTCAGAACTCATAATTCTATCCTTGTAATGCTTTCCAATTTCTTCTCCTTCCACCTTAAGTGAACCTTTTAGAAAAATAATCTCTCTTGTGCTAAAGAAATAATGAAGTTTAGCACATTTTTGCTTTCACTTTAGTTTCCTTTTTCTGCAGTCAACTCAATACTTTCGTTAAAGTAACAGACAAGTTACAGTGTGACTAGAGGTTCCTGCGGCGACAAGGAGTTAGTGGCCTAGGTATTTTCTCCTTTGTACCCTTCAGCGTTGATTTCTTTACATTGACTCTCCTTTTCCTTATCATTTTACACAAACACTGAATAGTTCTGAATAGAAATAAAAAACAGTGAGAAAAAGCAGCTGAGATCTTCACAGTAGTGGGTGTTGGGTGGTGGACACAAAGGACAATTTTCTTTATTCTTTGCATTTTCCAGGCAGTCCGATATTGCTATTGGACAGGAAGTGATGTTGAAAACTTATGGTACTGGGGCTGGGGGTTTAGCTCAGCAGCATAAGCACCTGCCTTGAAAGCAGGCAGTCATGAGTTCGATCCCCAGTACCGATAAAAAGGAAAAAGACAAAAACAAAAACAAAAAAAAAAGAAAATTTATGGTACCTAATAAAGTATGGAAGGAAAACTTAAAAGAGATTCCTCAGAACACTAGGACTAGAGGTCCCATTTGACCCAGCTAGTCCCCCTTTTTGGTATCTTCTCAAAAAAATTAAAAGCATCATACCACAGCGATGCACGCATACCCATGTTTACAACAGCACAGTTTGTAACAGCAGAACCTTGGAAACAATCAGTGAATGGATAAAGAGGTGAGTTTTCATATACAATGGAGAAGCACCCAGCCATAAGGAGGATAAGCTTGCGACATTTCTACGTAAATGGGTGCACCTTGAGAACATACTATTCAGTGAAATAAATGAGACACACAGGTTGTAAATACCACATTGTTTCTCTGGTGTGAGAAACAGAAAGTATAAAGAAGAACCGAAATGTGAAATAGGCTATTGTGAAATAGGAAAAAAATTGTTCAAATTGGAAGGGGAACTAGAGAGGGGGAGGGGAAAAGGAGGAAGGGAAAGAGAAAGAAGGAAAAATGGAAACTAACTCTCTGTACGTAGGGAAGGGGAATGAGAAAAAAGGAATCTCAAGCTATATCATGCACAGGTACAAAGTCCCTATGATAAATGTGACCATGTATCAATAAAAAAAATTTTTTTTGGTCTTTTTGAACAGGATCTCACTATGCAGTTCAGCTGGCTTTGAGCTCACTTTGTAGTCCAGGCTGGTCTCGAATTTGCAGCGATCCTCCTGCTTCAGTCTCCCAAGTGCTGCAATTACAAGCATGTGTGCCATACCTGGGTTAAATTTAATTAATTTTTTAAAAAGAGGGAGGCCAGGCATGCATATGGAGTACAGCGTTACAGGTGGGTTTCCCTACTTCTGACTTCCAAAGGGCACACATGGACAGGTGTCCCTGGATGCAACCTTCTCTGGGCACGCAGGGCTGGGGTGGTCCATGGGCGTGCTTCTGCAGGTTGGAGGGGACCCGGGGAAGGAGAGGACACTGGGGGTTGGAGGCAGCAGGGAGAGATGCATGCGAGGTGCCAGTTACCTGGCCCTGAGCACTCTCCCCAGCCTGGCCCAGCTCAGCCCAGCCTGCACCCTACTTACCGCAGGCGATGGGGGAGTAGACCTGGGACCCGGGGACCTGCAGTAGAATCCGAAATGGGGCGACCCGTGCATTGGAGTCCAGCACTGCATCCAGAGCACCAACCAGGCGACCTTGGAGTAAGAAAAGAGACCACCATGAGCCCAGGGCTGCACCTGAGTGCTCCCCTCCCCCACTGGATGTCCCCTACCCAGTCAAGGCCCCACCCCATCCTTTTTCCTTTGGTAATCAGCAAGTATTCTGTGGGGAAAATATGTGCATTTACCATTCCTTGAATATTTGATTTCTTCACTCTTTTTTCTCTGATACCAGGGATTGAACTCATGGCCTCAGGCTTGCCAGCTGGCCCTGGCCCTCTTCCCTTATTTATAACCACTGTGGATTTACGTTTCTGCTTCTACTCAGGTTACAGTCCACTATTGTCATTATTGGGGTGCTCACATTGTCCCAGGAGTGCCAGGCTAACAGCAGGAGGACAGCCGGGTGTGGTGGCACAAGCCTGTAGTCCCAGCACCTGGGAAGCTGAGGATTGCCACAAGTGTGAGGCCAGCTGGAATGCAGAGTGAGACCCTGTCTCGAAGGAAGGAAGGAAGGAAGGAAGGAAGGAAGGAAGGAAGGAAGGAAGGAAAAAAGAAAGAAAGCCAATCATATTTTTTCAGTGCTTAGAGAACTGAGATCATGGGTAAACCCACGCTCCAGTATCAAGACATTTGGTTTAATCCAGAGATCCAGGATCTGCTTCCTGAGTCCTGGAATCCCTAACCGCAGGATATCGTTCAGGTGGTTCTCCACCAGGGCTGAGCAGGAATAAGCATGAGAGTAAGAAACTTCTGCCAGCCGCTGTCCCCCAGGAGCCCAAACCTGCATAGGCTGTGGCATGAGGGATGGAGTCAAGGGCCTCTGTGACATCCCCAGCAATTCTTACTCTGAGATCTAAGTGGCCCAGGTGGGCTCAAATTTGTGCTCCTCCTGCCTCAGTCTCCCAGAATCCTGGGACTACAGATGTGCACCCCAACACTCAGTTGGTATTAACATCAGGGTTCCACCAGACTGTCACTGTGAAGAGTCAAAGACAATTGCTGTCAGGCTCTGTGCAGGATGTGTGACTGTTGTGTCATAATGATGCCAGCAAATCAGAGTGACACAAGGCAAAGTAGAGACCAGTATTTTCCTTGCAAAAACAAAATCCTCAACCAAATACTGCCAAGCAGAAATGCAACAAAGTAGAAGGTAAATTATACACAAGCCAACAAGCAGGGCTGACTGCAAACATGCAAGGATGGCTCGACTTCAGAAAAATATTCAAATGCATCACATCAACAGGCTGAAGACAACTCACGGCTGTATCAATTTACACACAAAAAACCTTGACAAAATGCAGCACCCATTCATGATTTCCAGAAAACTCAGCTAGCTAGGAAGCAAGAACTTTAACTTGAAAGAACATTCACACCCACTCAAACAAACAAAAAAAAAAGAATCTGTGGTTAATATCATACTAAATAATGAGAAACTCAGTTCCCCACTAAGATCAGGAGCAAAGTGAGTATGTTTTCAACATCATTCCTAGTTAATGTCAAACTGAAAGCCCAACCTAATACAGTAAGACAAAAAGAGGAAACAAAAGCCATAGAGATAGGGAAAGGAGAAATAAAACTCTTCCCAGATGACATGCTTGTCCCTGTAGGAAAATATCCAAGGATCAGGAAACACTTAAGGAAATCGTAAGCAGAAGAGCAGAGCCGCAGGACACAAAGCTGCAGGTGTAAGACAGCGTCGGTTCCCTGTACCAATAATGAGTGAATGGAACTGGGGAGGAGACAGTCAGTCACCAATGGTCCAGGGAATGGTAATTTTGCTGGGCATGAATTTAGGATCTATGCGCAGACGATGACAAAGCTGTTGAAAGAAATCACAGATCTAAGTGTAAGAGGGTCCACGAGCTGGAGGATCTAATCCTATAATGGTATCAGTTCCTTCCAGTTTCGTCTATCAATTCAGTGTAGCCAAACTCCCAGCATGCTCTTCTGTAAATACTGACCAATGAATTCTGAAGTTTAGATGAAGAAGTACACACCAGGAGCAGGCAACAGCTTTGGAACAGCTTTGCAGAGCTCACACCAGATTATTTAAAGTCACCACGAAGCTATGGTAGGAATCAAAACAGTGTGGCGGTGATGACAGAACAACTACGCACCTTGGGGGAGGGAGCACACGGCCCCACACAAACGCAGTGGCATTTGACTACTGATACAGCACAGTGCCATGGAGAACGACTGTCCTCGGTGAATGGTGCAGACCTGGACGATCGTGAGCAACTAAGACCACAGGCCTGACACCTATCACAAACAGGAACAAATGAGCGGGGCGTGGTGGTGCACACCTGTAACCCCAGCACTCCAGGGGCTGAGGCAGGCCAGCCTGGGCTATACAGTGAGTTCACAGCCAGCCTGGACTACATAGTGACAGCCTGTCTCAAAACAAACAAACAAAAAACCCGGGGATCTCAATGCATAACACAGTGGGAAAGGCCTTCCTGAAATGCTACAAACCGAGCAATGTGGTAGCTGTGGTTACTGGTCACCATGCATGTGCTAAAACCCCCAGAACTTTTAAAGTGGAGTTAACCTCTGTGACTGCAAACATCTTAAAATAGCCGAGGAAGCCCTGGGCCCCCCAGATTTGATGCAGCGATCTAACCACACAGCAAACATGTGAACACTGCACCACGAACAGCTGGGGAGAGGTGCAGACCTCAGTGATGCTGGCCGTGACTGCAGTCTGTGGGGAAAAGGGCAAAGAAATGCACCCGGAGCCAGCACCCCTCAGAGTGAGGGTGCAGAAGTCTGACTGACTACCCAGGAAGCGAACCCTGAGAAAGGGGAGGCAGGCCCGAGAGCTGGGCTTCCCACTGCCAAGGGGTTGCTGCAGTGGGCTTGGGCCGAGACCATGTGGCACAGCTCGCAGGCGCAGGGTGACAGCCACAAGGTACCCGAGGTGTGCAAGGGGCACCCTGTCCCCCCAGGCTGGTGATGCACTGCGACCCTCACACAACTACAGGAAGAAATGCTGCTATGTGTGCATGCGTGCAAGGGTCAAGGCCTGTGCCTATGGTGCTCTGGCTCTGTCCAAAAGGCACACAGGCCCCCGAGTCTGGTCTCAGCTGCCGATCAGTGCCCCGTGGGGAAAGGTCCCTCCTAGGGCTGGAGCGGTAAATACATAAAGTGAGCCTGGAGCATTTTGTACAGCCAGAAAGTAAACATGCACCACACACGCACACATACACGTGCACACACACATGCATGTACAGATACACATGCATGTACACAAACACATACACACAAATACATGGAAAGCAAAACCTGCCGTGCACTGCCTCAGCCAGGGATGGGATTGGAACTTTCCCTCTTGGCCAGCCAGAAAAACCAATGAGCCCCAGAACATCCTGAGGAAAGCAAGACAAATGCCAGCTGAGGGGCCCGCCACCCCATACATAACCCAGAGACCCCAAAACTGCCTAAGTGCTCAAACTAGGGACAGCTTGAGAAACCGTCACTGCCAGGATGTAAATGTCATGCATTACCCCGAATGGGACCCTGGTCCAGAAAAAGACTAAGGAAATCCAAAGGGACTGACGACCTCAAGGTTCTGCAGGTCAGAAGTGTCACTGGGCCCTCAGATCAAAGTGTCAGCTGGGCCAATCACCCCCGAGCTCCCAGGCACAATCCCTTTGCTGCCACTGCGCTGGGCTCCTACTCTCAGGAATCCACTCCTGGCAAACCCCTCACCGTGTACCCAAGGACAACTGAGGCCGCAGCTGCTAGGTGCGGCGGGGTCCCCCACTTGTCCCTCGGAGACTGGCACTACAGGAAGCCCCTCCCTCCCGGCCCCAGCACACGCTCCTATTTTTAGGCTCTCAGTGTAACAGCTCAGGCTGAGCAAGATGCCGAGTGGCACAGTTTATAATTAGAGCCCAGAAGGGGCTGCCACGCTCTCAGTCTGGCAAGGTTTGATGCCCTCGGATGGTACAGGCTGACGAAACGACAGGCACCGCCCGGGACACGTGGGGCCAGAGGGGCCTGCCTGTAACCCGGAGGTTTTCCTGACCTCAGGGTCGGGCTCCTACACAGCCACGTGCTGGAGCACGCTGGAGTCCTCCGCCCTCCAGAAATAGCGCCTCCGCCTCTGTATTAAGGTTCTTAAAACATGGCAACATTTGAGCCTCAGGCCGAAAGCATTTTAATGACAGCCTGAAAATCCGATGTCTGCTCTCCTCGCGTCAGAGAAAGCAACTTCCGTGCCAGCTCCAGGCTCAGACACAGTCTGGGGGCAACCCGGCAGGGAGGAAGTGCCAGGACTCTTAGGCAGGCTCCTGGTCCACAGTGCTGCCCCAGGGCACAGCTCCTGCCTGGCAGGAGCCACGCCCAATGTGGGGACTGCAGGGTAGGCATCGCTGAAAGTCCAGCTGTCGGGTTTGGCTGCTGCTGCTGTGCTTGAAAAAGAAGGGGGAAAGCACATCTAGAAGCAAGGCTGGGGGCTAGGGTGTAGCTCAACGGCTCAGGTGCCTGCCTGGTAAGCGGGAGGTCATGAGTTCGATCCCCACTACCAAAAGAAAAGAAGAAACGGGGTTGGGATGAGTGGCTTGGTGACAGAGCACCCGCCTGGCCCCTGCACGGCCTTGGGTCCCATTTTCACACACAGGCAAACACTTGCGCACATCATACTCATACATGCACACAAAGAGCTGGAACAAAAAGCAAAAATCTCAATTCACGAGAAGTGGCAAATAACCACTAAAGTCCCCACAAAGTCCTTCCTGCCTGCCTGAAGGAGATGCTGGGGAATCTGCGTTCCCCACAAGGGGGCCACCACATAAGTAAAACCCATTACCCACGCAACCAAAGCAGTTCCTGGGCATTTCACACCCCAAGTCCATGGCCCTATCAGCCTGTGTCCCTCTCAAGGCCCACAGATCACTGCCCTTTTCTGGCATGCAGCAGGCAAAGCTGCAGAGTGGGGACCGAATCAGATGGGGTCCGGTCATGGCCACTTGAGGAGCTGTCTCTTATTAACCAAGTGGACGACGTGGCGATCACGTGTCCATCATGGGTGA